AACCTCCATTGTGGAAGCTGCCAGGCGCAGCTGTGGCCAAAGCTTGTTGGTGCCTGTCATGGCGGTAACCCAAGAACCCCCTGGTGGACACCGGTGGTGAGGGAGGCCGTCAAGCTGAAGGAAGAGGCCTTTAAGGACTGGATGGCCCGAAGGACTCCCGATTCAGCAGATAGGTACCGACATGCAAAAAAGGTGGCAGCTGCAACGGTGGCAGAAGCAAAATCCAGGGCGTGGGAGGAGTTTGGTGAGGCCATGGAAAAAGACTTTCGGTCGGCCTCGAGGAGGTTCTGGACAACTGTCCGGCAACTCAGGAGTGGTCGGGGTGACTGCGCCCAGGCTGTATTCAGCAGAGGTGGAGAAACTCTGACTTCAAATGAGGATATTGTCGGTCGGTGGAAAGAGCACTTTGAGGAACTCCTTAATCCGGGTGACATGCCTCCCTCACGGGAGTCAGGGCCAGAGGCCTCTGGCGTGTCAAGCTCCATTTCCCTGGTGGAGGTCACTGAGGTAGTTGGCAAGCTCTTCAGTGGCAAGGCACTGGGGGTGGATGAGATTCGTCCAGAGATGCTTAAGGCTCTGGATATTGTGGGGCTGTCGTGGCTGACACGCCTCTGCAATACTGCATGGACCTCGGGAACAGTACCCTTGGACTGGCAGACCGGGGTGGTGGTCCCTATTTTCAAGAAAGGGGACCGGAGGGTGTATGCCAACTATCGGGGTATCACACTGCTCAGCCTCCCTGGGAAAGTCTATGCCAAGGTGCTGGAAAGGAGACTTCGACCGATAGTTGAACCTCAGATTGAGGAGGAACAATGCGGATTCCGTCCCGGCCGTGGAACAATGGACCAGCTTTTCACCCTCTCACGGATTGTTGAGGGGGCATGGGAGTTTGCCAACCCAGTCTACATGTGTTTTGTGGATTTGGAGAAGGCTTACGACCGTGTTCCCCGAGATATCTTGTGGGAGGTCCTCCGGGAGTATGGGGTGCCGGGGGTACTACTCCGGGCCATTCAATCTCTGTACGCCCGGAGTGAGAGCTGTGTTCGTATACTCGGCATTAAGTCGGACTCTTTCAGTGTTAGCGTTGGACTCCGCCAGGGTTGTGCCCTGTCTCCACTCCTGTTTGTGATATTCATGGACAGGGTGTCAAGGCGTAGCCGGGGTCAGGAGGGTCATTATGTGTGGAGGCCGGAGGGTGGCGTCTCTGCTATTTGCAGATGATGTTGTTCTTTTGGCTGGATCACATGGATGCCTCCAGCGCACACTGGAGCGGTTTACAGCTGAGTGTGAAGCGGTTGGTATGCGGATCAGCACCTCCAAGTCTGAGTCCATGGTCTTAGCCCGGAAAAGGATGGTATGCCCACTCCAGGTAGGGGAAAAGGACCTGCCCCAGGTGGAGGAGTTTAAGTATCTCGGGGTCTTGTTCACGAGTGATGGGAAGAAGGATCGTGAGATCGACCGCAGGCTGGGACAAGCGGCAGCAGTAATGCGGTCGCTGTACCGGACTGTATCGGTCTACATCCCGACCCTCACCTATGGTCATGAGCTGTGGGTAATGACCGAAAGAATGAGATCGCGAATACAAGCGGCAGAAATGAGCTTTCTTCGCAGGGTGGCGGGCTACACTCTATTTGACAGGGTGAGGAGCTCGGCCATCCGGGAGGAGCTCGGAGTAGAGCCGCTACTCCTCCGCATTGAGAGGAGCCAGTTGAGGTGGTTCGGGCATCTGATCCGGATGCCCCCGGGACGCCTCCTGGTGGGAATAAGACCCCGGGGTCGTCCTAGGACCCGCTGGAGGGATTATATCTCCAAGTTGGCCTGGGAGCGGCTTGGGGTCCCCGGGAATGAGCTGGAGGAAGTTGCGGGGGACAGGGTCACCTGGGATTCTCTGCTCTCCCAACTGCTACCGCGACCCTATCTGGACTAAGCGGTTAACGATGATGATGATGATGATGATGATGGTATTACATAAATTGCTTCCTTTTGCTTTAGTTGTCTAGGTAGCAGTTTTCCTGATTTCTCACCACTTTCATAGAAATTGGTTTTAGTTTGAAACATATTCTGCTTTTTGTTGTACATCTCGCTTAACTCAAACTTCATTTCACAAGTCTAGAAATCAATAAGGCCAAACTATAGTTTTTTGCCATCTATCTCTCTTTCTGTTTTAATTGGGTTTCCAATCTATTGACCTTGTCGCTATCTTCTTTCTTGATGCAACGGCAGTGATTTTACCCCTAATAAAAGCCTTTGAGGCTTCCCAGACTATGCCTGTTTTTTCAGTGGACCCCACATTTTTCTGGAAAAAGATTCCACAGACAATAACTGTTTAAACACTAGGTCTTGAAAAAGAGATGTATTATGTCTCCACCTATTACTCCTTACTGTTTGAGGATTTGTTGTTAGACACAGCTTCACCGTTGCATGGTCTGCCAGAGCAGTCTTACTATCTAAAACTGACTCAGTTATACTTTTTGATACTAGAAAATAAACTATTACAGAATATGGCTTTTGTGAATAGAAAGTGTAGTCTGTCCTGTTGGGATTTGTCAACCTCCAGATGTCCTCTAACCCAAGATCTTATTATCTCATTAGCTGAAATATTGCTAGTCTATCCTTTGGGACGTCATTGGAATATGCTGTTCTGTCTAACACGGCATCTAGAATCTGGTTAAAGTCCCTACAAAGTATTGTATTCCCATCTTTGATAGCTCCCATGAGCCAAACCTAACTTACACCATACAGGCCTTTTCTACATTAACAGACCATCATACTTTGGCCACTGCTTGACTCGCCTCTGTAGCTCAGTAGCTAACTGACCATTCTCTGTCTCCAACTTCATAACTCGGCCGTCTGCTTGGTTGAGTCTCTTAGAAATGGCTGCAATTTCCAGCCTGTGATGCTTTAACAGTGGAAACATCTTCTTGCAGTTCTTTGAGAAGTAAATCTGACAGCTCACTTAATTTCATTCAAACAACACCACTAACTCACTCAGTTACATGCATTTCTTAAGTAATATTAGCTGAAAAACTTATTAAAATCAAAAACAGAGCAATTTTATTTTTGTAAGTGAAAGTGTAAGTGTAAGCTGTTTCATACAAAGTAGTTGCCAAAAAATGTCATAAGCTGATTAACTGATTATTTAGTGGCGGTCATTAAACCACACCCACAAATACAGACAGAAAAACATATGAAAGCTCTCTCACTGTTATTTGTGCTCTTTCTCAGCCAAATCTGCACTCAGAATAGACTTCAGGGAACTGAGAGCAGAGAGAACTTATTTAGATGTTCATGATCAGACTTCTGTTCCAGAGTAACTGTGGTAATGACATCTTCACCTCAAGAGGAACTGAACTAAAAAAAAAATGTAAAAAAAATGCTCATACTTTATTTAAAGCTGTCAGCTCACACTTACTACATCCTGTTTTGAACATAAACATGTAGCCTAAGTATGTCAAATGTAAGACACTGCAAGTTTGAACTGGTTTGAACAAGAACATTTATTACTATGGAGTTCATGATATTACACATTTGAATTTAAATGCAAAAATCAGAATGTGAATGTTTTTATTTTGATCATACCCTATACCATGTATGACACATCTGAAATTGAATTCTGAACTCAAATTTAATTTTAAGGTTGTAAATAAGAGAGCAGTATAGTCTGAATCAGACTGAATACAGTTGTGTGTCTGAATGCTAAAAGCATTCCGTTTTTTTTATCAATTTATATTTTCAGATTCACTTTCAAAATAACGTACAGGTGTCTTTCAGGCAAAAGTCGTCGAAGCGAGTGTAAAACGTAGCATGAAAGTATTTTCTAGTGGTCTGTAAACCACAACAGATATGTCTAACACACTTGTGCCACTACTTGTTCAATGTTACTGCTGTGCTGAGAGTGCTACATTACCCACATAATATCTGGTTATTGTGAATACTTTATTGATCCCGAAGGAAATTAGGTTGGTCCTCTGGTGGTCCCCTTCCACTAGTGGGTGGTTGGGGGGTAGTGATGAACTGCAGCAACAGACGAGCTATTTAGTAATTGCAAGTGAACCAGGATGTTTCTGATAAAATAGCCAGTAAGTAAAGGTAGGAGGGGAGCGGGAAAGAGATTTGGTGTTTGACTGCTTTTGCCTGCAAGACACTTGGATGTTATTTTGAATCTGAAAAGTATGAATTAATAGAAAAACTGAATATTTTTTAGAAATTGCATTTCAGACATTCAGTTTAAATCCATCCATCCGTCCATCGTCTAAATCGCTTATCCTTCTGGGTCGTGGTGGGGTGCTGGAGCCCATCCCAGCTGCCATTGGGCGGAAGGCAGGATACACCCTGGACAGGTCGCCAGTCCATCGCAGAGCAGACAGACATACACATTCACACACACACTCACACCTAGGGGCAATTTAGCACATCCAGTTAGCCTGACTGCATGTTTTTGGACTGTGGGAGGAAACCAGAGTACCCAGAGGAAACCCACACAGACACGGGGAGAACATGCAAACTCCACACAGAAATGACCCTGGTCACCCAGCCGGAAATCGAACTCAGGCACTTCTTGCTGTGAGGCGACAGCGCTACCCACTGCGCCACCGTGCCGCCCTCAGTTTAAATCATCAAACATAAAATTCAGTTTCAGATTATATTGCTTTATTACAAACCTTAAAATTCAATTTCAGATGGTATACAGATTAACAATGATAATAATAATAATAATAATAATAATAATAATAATAATAATTCAGATTTTTTCGTTTAAATTGAAATTCCTTTTGGCATTAATCTACCATTTTTTAAATCATGCAGATTTAATAAATGTTTGAAAATTGTTAAAAGAAAAAAGGTCAGTAATTTACAAGACTTTTCAGGAAAATATAAAACTCCCTCTCTCCCTCTCTCTCTCTCTGTCTCTCTCTCTCTGTCTCTCTCTCTCTCTCTATCTCTCTCTCTCTCTCTCTCTCTCTCTCTCTCTCTCTCGTGTATATTGTAAGAACACCGTCAGTCAGTCAGTCAGTTGTCACTGAAAACAGGATGGAGCTCCGTCCACTCTCTGTGATTCTCTGTGAGTAAATGTTTTTGTTTAAATCTTCATTATAGTCAGTGGTGCTGTATGAAGTTTTCTATTATGCTTATTATGTTTCAGGTTTGCTTTTTATTTTTCATGTGTTTTATGAGCTCCAGCTCTTCTTTCTTATGAGGTGTACAGAAAGAATGTATGCAGCTTTTTGCGATAGTGTATTGTTTCCACATTTCACTACATCTACTTCAGAATCAAAAACCTAACACAGTTAATTTTTTTGCTAATTATTATTATTTTTTTATTTAAGTGAGATTTATATTTATACATGTAAAAACAAACAAATTAAAAGTAAACTTTATTTGAGCGTCTACTGTTTGTGAACAACTCAGCTGAAATCATTAGTTAAACTTACTGGAGCGGTTAACTGTAACAGACTTGAGGACTAGTTTTAAAATTTACCAGAAAAGTCTGGAAAGATCACACAAACACAGTTTTATCTTGTATCCTCTCCTCACAAAGTCTAGGGATGATACTTCCCCAGAGTGCCTGGGCCTGAAGTGAGTGTGGGCTGGGCAAGGTTTGGGTTCAGCCTCAATGGCTGGGTGGCAGGACTGTGGGAGTGGGCGCTCTGAGTCTTGGGTCAGGGGAAACCTGCACCTTACAGAGGTGACTGGCATGCCAGTAGATTCCGTCCGAAAGTTTGAATGAGGCTGGACCAAGCCGTTGGCTGACCTGCACCAGGTCTGACCAAAATGACAGAAGTTTGTTAATACATTGGGGCTGCCGGAATCTGAGGGTGTCTTTTTTTTATCTTTTTCAGTCTTTCTCTAATTTCGTCATAGTTCATATGGACAATGAGTTGGTGAATTGGTCCCATATCATTTCGTTCTGTAGAGCTCCAAATTTAGAGGTAGCCAAACCCTGTAGGTCTGCCATGAACTGTGTCACTGATTCCCCAGGTCTTTGATGTTGTCGCCAAAACGCGACCCGACGTAGAAAAGTACCTTGTGGAGCAGTGAGATGGTTGTCTAGTGCTTCAACAATGGCTGTAAATGTAGTTAATCCAAGAGTTCCAAACATGAGCTGCCTCTCTTGTCCTAGACAGTGCAATAGCAATATACACTTCCTCCCGTCTGACACACCATCAAAACCAGCAACTAGGATGTAGGTTGTGAATGTGGAATAGCAGCAGATGGTGGCAGATAACATTCAGCTATTTTTGTCACCAATGTGGTGTGTAAACATGGAGACCACAGAGTTAAACTCACTCCATTTATTCAAACCGAACAAACTCAACTTAGTTTGCATGCACAACCGTCCCATGACATAATAGTGTACATGGTGTGTGTGTGTGTGAGAGATAGACAACAATGACTACTGACAAAAAGCTGTGTGTCAAATAAACTGGTCAAAGTAAAGCAATTAAGACCGACACAATATGATTGGAATGTATGTGATAAAAAAGTAAGAAATTAATAAACAAATAAAAGTCCAAATCCAGAGCAAATGTATAGCTCTCATTGTTTACTCTGGGCTGCTGCTTTTACTTGATGTTAAACTTCTCATATGTGTGAGCAGACCAAGTGTACAAAAAATGAGTGTCAAACAATGTTTTACCACAAAAGAGAACAGAATCAGCATCATAAAACTGAAACATGCTTTATAACATGACATCCCTGCTGAACAAACCAGGACAGACCATTATTAATTCCATGCTGGTCTAGACTGATTTAAGCTGGTTGATGGTGGTCTGTTACTGGTTTAGCTGGTCACTCAGCATTGTTATGCTGGTTGACCAGCTTCTAAAACACAACATATGCTGGTTTTGCTGGTGGCCAGCCATGCTGGTCTGTGCTAGTTTTTCTAGCAGGGATCTGTGGTGCATTTTCAGTTTGGTTTGCTTTTCCTTTCTGGAAATAAGACATTCAGAGAGGTCACTGTAGCTGAAATCGGTTTATAGCCACAGAAATTGCAGCATGTAAAACAATGAGAAATATGAGCAAAAGTCTGTTCAGTGTCCTCATAGCTAGTTAGGTTTTTTTTTATATCTCCAATTATGATTTTCTGTGTGGAAACAGCACCATCCTGAAAAAAATGCTGGCAAAGTGTAGCCTGTGTTGAAAAGCTTGCATTCCAAGATCACTTTAGACCTCAGAGCAGCTGTGCTTTGACCCTAGACACATTGCTTGCTTTTCTTTTTCATCTGATACCAAGTAGTACCAGTGTTTGTATCCAGATACCAATACTGATACTTCCAAAAGGAGGAATTCCTTGTGATTTCTACAGTAAAAAGTGGCCACTGAAAATTATATTTAAAACATTTGCATTAGTATTAAATAAACTGCCTCGTAAGCTGTTTGGGCTGAGTTTCCCAAAAGAGCACAAAGATGACTCTTCAATGGTAAAGCGAGTATCACACAGGACACTCTCTCTACCAGTTAAGATCCTCTGAACACTAGAATGCTTATGGGAATCTGGGCAATAACTCCAAATGATCTGCAGTTGATAGAGCATTCACTGCATGTGGCTGTTTGTGCCTGTTTGTGTGAGAAGCAGAGGGAGAGGCAGAAGGAAAAGGAGATCCTGTATGTCACATTTATTTGCTATAATATTTTGGTTGATTTTTCACCATCAGTTTATGAAAACTGATGTATATTCAGTTTACTGCATAGAGAAAACATCTAGTATCAAATGTCCGATTATATACTGATTTTGGTAATAATGGCACATTCAGCGTTCACTTACAGAAACAGCTCAGTTTCTACTTCCCAGTGTATCCATCTTAGAACTGATTTTACACAAACAGAAACTAACAGAAGCGTCTTTAATCCTGAGGAATCTTTTCTTACATTGGTAGTTTCTGTTCAGACCAATTAAAGTTTTTTATTTTTGAAATAATATTTTTAGAGACATTACAGAGCACTTACAGTGGTCAGGTACTATTTGGGTGGTGGATCATTCTCCACACTGCAGTAACACTGATGTGGTGGTGGTGTGTTAGTGTGTGTTGTGCTGGTACGAGTGGATCAGACACAGCAGTGCTGCTGGAGTTTTTAAACACCTCAGTGTCACTGCTGGACTGAGAATGGTCCACCAACTAAAAATATCCAGCCAACAGCCTCCTGTGGGCAGCGTCCTGTGACCAATGATGAAGGACTAGAGGATGACCAACACAAACTGTGTAGCAGCAGATGAGCTATCTCTGACTTTACATCTACAAGGTGGACTGACAAGGTAGGAGTGTCTAATAGAGTGGACAGTGAGTGGACACAGCATTTAAAAACTCCATCCGCACTGCTGTGTCTGATCCACACGTACCGGCACAACACATACTAACACACCACCACCACGTCAGTGTTACTGCAGTGCTAAGAATGATCCACCACCCAAATAGTACCTGCTCTGTGAAGGTCCATGGAGGTCCTGACCACTGAAGAACAGGGTAAAAGGGGGCTAACAAGAACTAACAGAACTACAAAGTGCACCTATATAGTAAGTGGAGCTGATAAAATGGACAATGAGCGTAGAAACAAGGAGGTGGTCATAATGTTATGCCTGATCAGTGTATATATACACAACTGTGCAAAAATCTAAGGCCCATGTGTCAAAGTCAAGGCCCACGGGCCAGATCAGGCCCACCACACAATCCTATCTGGCCAAAGTATTTAAATATTCAATTAATACTAGTCCATTTCACAATGCAACACCCCTGCACTGGCATCTTAATTAAATCAGGTGTGGCTGATGCAATTGAACAAATCCAAGCCAGGAATGAAACCTGTGTTCTTCTAACAGTATTTATTAAACCTTCATAATAAACAACTTCACAGCCCAACACCACATTCTTTTTACTGTTATTTGTGTTTATTTGTATTTATTCACTGTCGCCTCACAGCAAGAAGGGCCTGGGTTTGATTCCCCAGCTGGGTGACCGGGGTCCTTTCTGTGTGGAGTGCATGTTCTCCCCGTGTCTGCGTGGTGCTCCAGTTTCCTCCCACCGTCCAAAGACGTGCAGTTAGGCTAACTGGACAGGCTAAATTGCCCCTAGGTGTGAGTGTGTGTGTGTGTGAGTGTGAGTGTTTATGTCTATCTGTCTGCCCTGCGATGGACTGGTGACATGTCCAGGGTGATTCCTGCCTTCCGCCCATTGACTGCTGGAAAGAAACTTTCAATCCATATCACATTTGTGTTTGTAGAAGAGGAGGCATTTTGTTATGGTTTAAATTTGATGGAGTTGTTTTTTGTACGTACAGTTTTGTTTTGTGGAAAGAAAATCCTACTTTTATATTTTCCAGTAATTTATACTAGAAGGAGATCATTTTAGGGGTTTTGTTATTGACCCGGTGTGGCTTTCATAAGGACTCAGTCTTGGCTTAGTCTCATTTTACTTTGGACTTGGTCCTGATTTGGCCTCAACTAGTCATGGTCTTGGACTCAACAAAGGTGGTCTTGAATACAGCCTTACTTCCTGCGTTGGATTTAGCTTATGAAATGGTGATATGCCTTTGAAATGATGTGAGACTGGCTATTTAAGGTTTGTACAAATTTGTTTGGTGTTTAGAAAGTAACATAATGTAAGGTAATGAGAACTGTGAGATGACGTTTTCCCTGGAAGTAAGATGTAGTGATCCCCCTACAGATTGAGAAAAGTAGTAGGTAACACTTTACATTGTGTTGACTAACTAACATGAAGTAATTATCATTTAAAAATACAGTACAAAATACTACATCAGTAAATGGAAGTAAGTAAATAAAACAAGTTAGTGGCTACCATTGGTAAAGTGTCATTTCAGCCAATTAAACTATTACTTAACATTGCTTTTTCAAGCATTATGTATAACTGCAGTACATAAGCAAAACACTGGAACATAAACTAATGAAGTTGTAACATGTTTAATTAACATTAGGTAACCATTATCAAAGTAGAACCTTAGTTGTTGTTCATGTTAATAAGTGCATTACTTAATGTTGATGAGTCAACACTTCATATGAAAACAACAATAACTAATGCAGTTGTAACATGTTTACTTAACATTAGGTAACCATTGTTAATGCATTACTTCATGTGTTGTTCATGTTAACTAATGCATTACTTCATGTTAGTTAGTCAACACAATGTAAAGTGTTACCAATCTGGAATGGAATATTTCTTAAGTAACTACCCCACCACTGGTCAGTGATGAGTCAGCTTCTTATTTTGGAGCATAACTGTAATATTGTGTTCTTGCAGTAAATTGTGTGTATAGCTAAAAACTTTTAAAGGCTAATTTTGGACTATTTGGGAGCTGGTGAACTTCCCTGTGGGTTTGTATATTGCAGCTCCAAGCACTCAAATTGGCTTGACTGTAAAAATGCACATGCTGCTACAGGCTAACAGTAATACTGAACCTACAAGTGTGGGCAGGGGGGTTTGAGGGGTGTCATGTGCTGACAGCTGTGTCCCTGTCACTTTTAAAATGGATGCTTTGTCACTGGCATTATTTACTAGAAGTTGTAGAGGAGAGAGCGTGCGTCCTGGCGGGCTGGCAAAATTAGACTTGCCTAGTTTCTCGTTTTTTCCTTCTGTGGGCAAATATTTTTAAAGACACTTTACATTTTTAAAGGCTTTTTCTTCCAAAAAGATTTTCCCGCTTTTTAATATATTTTTTTAATTTTTTTTTACAATTGGCAATGACCACATGATTTTAAAATACTCATTGCGTTATAAAATACATTCAAAATAATACAGTTTATCAAAATGTATTTAATGTGTCTTATTTTATTTGTTAGCTGCACTGATCATTAAAAGTTAGGCATTTGAAGGTAACTGTTCTTGTCATCCACAGTTGTTTATCTGGACTACTGAAGGCAAGAATCTTATAAGAGTGTGAAACGCTCATTAAGAACACGCTTCATTCTTCATTTTAGTTGAATTTTATATTTAATTAATATATTTTACTTAATAAAAAGACAGAATTTTTTTTTCTTGTGAAATGCTTTTGAAAATGTTTTTCTTCCAAAAAGATTTTCCACTTTATTGATTGATTTAACAAATAATAGCCAACGTCCATACTATTTTAAATGCTCATTAGATTTAAATAAGTTCAATATAAAACAGTTAATTGAAAGACATGTGATGTGTCTTATTTTATTTTATTTTATTTTATTTTTATTTTATTTTATTTTATTTGTTTCCATTTATGTTAGTTTGGTTATCTGGACTTTTGTAAATAAGAGCTTTAATGAAACTGGACCTTCTTAAGTTTTAGTTGAATACTCTGCTGTACATCATGTCCTCTGTCTCTCTCTGCTTTAGTGCTGATTGTGCTCATCCACTGTGGACAAACTAAAGGTGAATCTGTATTTACTAGATTATTTCATTTTCATTCATGTAGAAGTGTATTTGCATGCATAACTCACCCCAGTTATGGTGAAACCTGAACTACATATTACACACACACATATATATATATATATATATATATATATATATATATTTTTTTTTACTTTATACTGATGTACTGATATATAATCTGTGTTGAAGAATTAAACTAGCTTAATTGTGCAGTCTGGCAGGACAGAAACATTCATATGACATAGGCTCATATTCAGCTCATAGAGAACAAAGCATGTGCTTAAAATGCTGTTTATGTTGTAGAGGTGAAAGCAGCTCTGATAACTTCATCATTTCACATCAACAGAAAAACTCAAACCAGCAGTGAGGGTGGAGCCTCAGAGCACCGTCTACACTGGAGACACTGTTACTCTGATCTGTGAACTGCAGACCTCACTCACTGGATGGAAGTTTCTCTGGACTAAAGATGCTCAGTCAGTACATCTGATTACTGATGGAAACACCAACACAATCAGTATAACAGTGTCTAATACAGGAACAGAAGAGTATAAATGTGTAGCACGCAGAGAATTCTACACAGATTACAGTGATCCAGTGAAGATTACAGTCAGAGGTACATCATGATTTCTGTTTTTTTTTTAACAAATGACAAGATTATCAGAAAAGATCTTACAGTTATTCTATAATATTTTTGAATAGTGAGATGTATATATAGAGGGAATATACATTTTATATATAATATTTGTATTGGTTTATTAAATTTGTATATAATTCGAGTTTTCGAAAAGAATAACAGCTGATGTATAATGGACAATACATTTTTATTTCTCTAATAAAGGTGATATTATTCATAATATAGCATTGATATGTGAAGCTCACTTCAAACAATGTACAAGCCCATTTCCCAAAAAGTTGGGATGCTGTGCAAAATGTAAATAAAAACAAAATGCAAATTTGTGCAAGTTGTTTAAACTCTGTATTTCATTGAAAATAGTACAAAGACAACATATCAAATATTGAAACCAAGAAATTTTTTAGGTTTTTTGAAAAATATCTGCCCATTTTCAATTTGATGCCAACAACACTTCCCAAAAAAGTTGGGATGGGGGGCGACAAAACGCTGGTAAAGTTGTGTAAAAAACATTTGGTGGTTAATTGGCAACAGGTCAGTAACATGATTTGGTATAAAAAAGCATCCCAGAGAGGCTGAATCCTTCAGAAGTAAAGACGAGGAGGGGTTCACCACTTAGTGCAACAATTCAAGAATAACGTTTCTCAATGTAAAACAACAAAGAACTTTTGCTTTTCATCATCGTACATAATAACATTAAAAGATCAGGATAATCTGGGGAAATCTCTGTATGCATGGGACAAGGCCAAATACCAGTATTTGCTGGCCCTGATCTTTAGGCCCTCAGGCGGCACTGCATTAAAAACAGACGTGATTCTAATGTTGGAAATCACTGCATGAGCTCAGAAACATTTCTGAAAACCACTGTCTGTGAACACAGTTCGTCGCTGCATCTACAAATGCAAGTGGAAATTCTAAAACGCAAAGAAGAAACCATACATAAACAGGATCCAGAAATGCTGCCAATTTCTCTGGGCCTGAAATCGTTTAAAATGGACAGAGGGGAAATGGAAAAGTGTCCTGTGGTCTGACAAATTAACATTTAAAATTCTTTTTGGAAATCATGGACACTGTGGCCTCCGGGTTAAAGACCACTCAGCTTGTTATCAGTGCACAGTTAAAAAGCCAATATTTATGATGTTATGGGGGGCATTAGTGCACATGGCATGGGTGACCTGCACATCTGTGAAGGCACCATTAATGCTAAACGCTATATACATGTTTTGGCAACATATGCTTCATTATGCCTTCATTATTTCAGAAAGACAGTGCAAAACCACATTCTGCATGTATTACAGCAGCATTGCTCCATATTAAAAGAGTCTGGGTGCTAAACTGACCAGCCTGCAGTCCAGACCTGTCACCTGTCACACACTGAAAACATTTGCTGCATTATCAAAGGAAAAATATAATAAATGAGCCCCGAACTGAGCAGCTGAAATACTATACAATATCAAACAAGAACAGGAAAACATTCCTCTTTTAAAACTACAGCTATTGATCTCTTCAGGTCCCAAACGCTTACAGAGTGTTGTTAACAGAAGAGGTGATGAAACACAGTGGTAAACACGCCCCTCTCCCAACTTTTTTGGAACGTGTTGTTGGCATTAAATTCAAAATGGGCATATATTTTTCAAAAAACAATAACATTTCTCAGTTTCAACATTTGATATTTTGTCATTGTACTATATTCCTTTAAAAATATAGTTTACATGATTTGCACATCATTGCATTCTATTTTTATTTACATTTTGCACAGAGCCCCAACTTTTTTGGAAACGGGGTTGTACACTATATAAAAAAGAGCATTTTAGAATGTCATCTATAATG